GTGGATCCTCCATCTCCAGTGCTGGAGAAGGGGCGTTGTCTTACCTGAACGCCTTTTCTCAGCACGGAGATGGAGGATCCACCTTCCCCCCCTATTTCTTTTGGGGCAGTTATTACCTAGGATAGTTTAGTTTCTGAGCCAGTACGTCCTATGTCAGTCAATGGCTTCGCTCGCGTCAAGACTGGAATCTAGGGTCCAGGACGGGCGTGGCAACTTTGGCTGACTTAATCTGATTGGGCAGGAATACAGTCTACTACCCATGGGTGGATCCTCCATCTCTGTGCTGAGAAAAGGCGTTCAGGTAAGACAACGCCCCTTTCCAGACCACTGCCACCCAGATCTGAGGCCGGGGGACACTTCCGTGGCCCTCCAGCCACCTGATCCGGGCGCCAGAAGCCTTCTCCAGGCTGGGCAGCAGCAGCCTGGAAAAGACCTCTGGTGCCCTGATCCGGCCTCCAGAGGGATGCGGAGGGTGTGAATATTGAAGGCCTAGTGCCTAGGGAGACCCGGGGCGGGAGTGGGGAGGGAGGTAATAACCAGGGTGAATGTTGCAAAAGCCTCTGCAGTCGCTTGTAAGGGCAAACAACTGCTGTGGTGCTGCAATATTCGTAATTTCGGGACTTGCTCGTAAGCACTAGGGAGCGCTTATCGCGTAACTTTGAGCATTAAGTGAACGCTCATAACTTGGGGATTACCTATAATAAAAGCTAGCCATTCCTTCACTTCCTATATAAGCATTGGCACTCAACTGGAGTCCAAGAGAATGTTAGAAATGGAGAAATGGACATGATTAGTTGCTTCTCTAAGTTTTTGTCCAAGACATTTTGCCAGGTGTGGTAATCCTTTTCTCACAAAGCAAAAGACGAAAAGGTCTGCTTTTTACAATATGAAATATTGGACTTGCTGCAGGGATTATTGTAAATTTTGATCTAGACTAGCATTAGATACTGGAATTTGCTATCTTTTTAAAGGCAAAATATATATACCATTTGCTCAAAACAGATTCATCAAAGCTACTCTCATTTGGTTACAGGTAGTGGTGGAATTACAACAGCTCATTTAGTGACTGTTCAAAGTTACAATGGAACTGAAAAAGTGACTTATGACTGTTCTTCACACTTAATGACTGTTGCATAAGTGGTCACTTAATCAAAATTCAGATGCTTAGAAACTGACTCATATTAATGATGGTTACAGTGTCCTGGTGATCACCTTTTGTGACCTTCTGACAAGTAAAGTCAATGGGGAAGTCAGATTCACTTGACAGCCGTGCTACTAAGTTTAACAACTGCAGTGATTCACTTAACAATTGTGGCAAGAAAGGTTGTAAAATGGGACAAAATTCATTTAACTGTCTTGCTTAGCAATGTTGGGCTCAACTGGGGTTGTAAATTGAGGACTACCTGTATTCTATACCCATTGAGGGGTAGGGCTGCCCTCCTGCCCATTTTGATCACTCTTCTGTAAATGCTGATACGGTGAACAGGTGTGCTTGCATGCAGTGTCCTAAAGCAAGAACGAAGGGGGCAAAGTGTGCATGACACCCCCTTTGTACAGTAGCTCTTGGCTTCTGCTGGGTGACAAATGGTTATTTCCCCCCCCCCCAGAATATTAACACAATAGGTGAATGAGTATGTTGCTGGTTATATAGATGTTAGATTTTTAACTTTAATTAAACAAAGACAATAAATTATCCGTATAATGTATTAATTAACATTAGGTTAGGAAGTAAAGCAATGGAGCAGCTGTCATTTACATGTATAATTCCTTTACTACTCCAATCTCTCTCCTTTCCCTTCTCTTTTGTTTCCGTTTTTATTTCAACCCTGACTTGGTGAATTAATGAAAACAAGGGAAACAAATAAAAATTCAGCATGCTATTGGTAGCTTTCAAAGGAAGGTAACAGGATTCACACCTCAGTTTTCTTATAATCAATGAGACTGTAGTTTGTTTCTTTTTCCTTCACATAATATCTGTGTTAGGTTGGCTGCTTGGTGACATTTTTTACAGGCAAGAGCACAGTGATGGGATGAGGAGAATAGGGCGTCTGCCCTCCGCCATCCCCCACTCCCAATTTCAGGGCAGCTTGTGACACTTCTTAGTATAAGATCCAATTTTGTATGATTTGGGGGGAAATAAATAAATAAATGTTTAGGCCTGCTAAAAGCTTTCATAATCTGTAACCAAAATTAAATTTATGCTTTCCCCTGGATAAATATAATTGTAAATCCTCTGACCTTTAGAAAAACAGATTATGGACATGGCCAGATATTATTAGTTTTGCAGCAGTCAGTATTGGTAACATGCATGTCTTCTTCAGATTTTAAATCTGTCTTCATATGTTAAAAAGCCAAAAGAAAAGTTTTATTTGCATATCTTTCTGTTGAAATCTAGAACAGTCACATCTTCAACGAGTTATATTAAGCTGCTTTGTCGTTCGGTTATTACCTGCATTTTGAGTGCTTTCCATTCTTCCCTTTCATTAACCTAACATAAATTATTGAGGAAAAACTATTCATTTGGTTTTAAATATGTATTCCTTAAGACAATAATCATAAGGTCCTGACAAGATAATATATCTGTCTTCTACTTGAAACAAAGCAAAATGCTTCCTTAAATACATACCTTGCCTGAGATTTTTTTGTTCTGCACCAGAAATAATACTGTTGATATATTTCTGTAAGGAACAGTTCTTGTGGCTTATTTTTTTTTTTTTTAAAAAAATCAATGTATAGGGGGATGTTGTCCTTGGAAAAGCATCAATTCTTATATATTAATGCCAGCAGAGACCCCGTTTGATTTGGTGATTAAGACCAGGAACATGAAGACCACCATGGCTTCTAGTCCTGACTACTTAGGCACGAAGCCAGCTGGGTCACTTTTGGCCACTCCCTTCATCTCAGATCTAGGAAAAGACAGTGGCAATCTACTTCCAAAAATGTTGCCAAGAAAACTGCATGAACCTGTCCAGACCAGCTACCAGGAATCTAGAGAAAGTTTAAGGCAAACAATTAAAATCATATAAAATAAAATCCAGCATATTACTGTATTAGAATAACAGACACTTGGAATTGGTGACTAAGAAATCTAGAACAACATTTTGGATTTGAAAGAAGCACCAGTGTGTAAGGATATATTATAGACGTAGCTAAATGTTTTTATTAAAAAATAATTTCATTTGGTTCTGTGTTTTATCTGTTTTTATTGATTTATTTTATTTGTATCCACTTTTTGTTTTTGTTTTTAATTCTATAATTAAAATATTTTTTTTAAAAGGAGCTGGCAAAAATATGTTGGCTAGTCTCTCAAATTGGGCTTTTGGTTTTGTTAGAAAATAACCAGTTAGGTTGTTTTCAATACTTCCAAAAATGACATGGTTTAATAATCAGACACAAAAAATACATTCCATTCCTACTTTGTCTTAGAAAAACTACATAATTATGGATATTATACTGTATCTTCATAGTTGTCCAGGTCTAGCATATAATTAATGTTTACTTAGAAATTGGCTTGGCAATTTTATATTTTACATTTATATGAATAACATGGAACACCTTAAAACAATTTTGAATCCTTACAATTCAGCATATTTACATGCTGAATTTTAAGGCAAAGCTCATGACAACAATGTTGTAACACTGCGATGAAATATATGAAGATGTTAAATCATTAGAAAACTTCTGACAAAGAACAGAAAAAGAATTCATGTTATTGCATATCATTAAAAACAGCAGAGTAACATTGATGAGTATTTAGTCTATATTTGAAATTCCATTCTATAGGGTCAGTTCATAATAACATACAAAGGAAGTTCTACAGCTATAGAGCAACACTGGGAAAATTACTTTTACTATCCAGAAATGTTGGCATTCTGAATGCAAAATTGCTATCTACTGCTCCCAGTTTGGTCTAATGCAGATCTGGGCAATTTACAGCCAGCAGACCACATCCGGCCAGTCTAGCCCGCAGCAATGGGTGACAGGAGGAGCATCATCAGGCATGGGGTGATGCTGTAATTTAAACACTGAATGCTGTTACAACACAGATGCATTAGTATTAGATTATATGCTTATAAAGTATTTTCTAAGCGAGAAGAATAATGTGAAAGAAAATCTCATTGTTTTAATGACAAAATATTTCTAAGCTTAAGATCTCCATTATTTAGATTTATTAAGACCAGCATCAGAGGTTGCAGTTTCAATGTTGGAAAATACAATACATTTTTTTTTTGGCCAATGTCTTCCTCTTTCTTCCAAACTAAAATGGCATAGAGGTTTTTTTCAAGCTTATATGACATATACTTGTTCCAATGTTCCACTGATAGCTTAATTTGCAGTCTCACATTCTCTTTAATACTAAAGACACACATTAAGAAATATTTCTCTGAATCTGGAAAGGAATCCAAGCTAGTTTAATCTATAAAAAGCAATATGTACTTATTTAAACATCTATAGAAACCAAAACTAATTTAGTTTTTACATAAGTTTTTAAAAGTTGATGGTAAGTGAACACTGTACCCGAACATTGTTCTAACTCATTTTGTATCGTGTAGGAAGGTCAGCTAACTAAGTAGGATTACTCACTAAGTTCCTGTTTCATGAATATTGACTTTAGTTAAGCAAATAAATCAGCCAGGATAGTCAGAGAATAACAAGGAAACAATAAGGCACAAGGGCATTTTGCTAGTAGTGAGCATGCAGCTATGCCAAATAGGAATACAAAGAAAAGAGCTTGCTGCTATGAAAAACTGAGATATATGCCAGCTAGTCCTATCGGCTCATGGAATGTGCAGTTTGTCAGAAGCAAAAATCAGGGATGGATAGAACAACTTCTAAGATATTTCAACTCAGTGAAATTTCACTCCTGATGACCGACAGATTGGATCCTGCAGCATTATCCTGGGACATGTACATTCGCCTTCATATTTCAACTCCACTATTACTCACTCTTGCTAATGTAGGTGGGGACAAATGATATGGCAGATAACTTTACATTTCTAAAAATCATTTTCTCTTTTAGATGGAACAGCTCTCAGATGAAGAACTTGATCATGGTGCAGAAGAAGATAGTGATAAAGAAGATCAGGACCTGGATAAGATGTTTGGGGCTTGGCTTGGAGAGTTGGATAAACTCACACAGGTTAAAGGTTTTTTTTATAATGCTATGAGATGCAAACAGTAAAAGAGATCACTCTTTCTTACTATAACAGCTTCCTGTAACTTGCATCCTGAGAAAGTGTGTATAGTAAAAATGTCATTAGTTCCAGCCGATGTGACTGTTGCCATCCACTAGCAGATTGGTTTAGGGTAATGCTCTTGATAATATTGCTTGATAATATCAGCAAGAGAGATTGATAGCTCTTATGTAGTTCTTCCTATCGCTGGAAGCAGCTCACCAGGCTTGGTATGCTTAATATTATGTCAGAGTTTGGATTTCTGGCTTATTATATAATTCCTGAGTCTCCAATAATCCCCTATCCTAGGCAACAAGGCAATGGGCCAGAAAAGGAGATGGACAACAAATTCCCCATTTCCCTTTCCCACAATGAATATACTTCCAAACACTAGGGCATTTTTCCTTGCCTGTATCCATAAAAATATTTTATTTTGATCTAGATTAATTATTGGTAGCCATTAAACATTTTGTACATACAAATTTTTCTAAGAAAAAAACCCTGTCAATGTGAGTGGACCAGCATAAATATAATTGTTTCCTTATGTTCGTTTTTATATGATACAGTTTTGATTATTTTTCTCAAATTGATTTATTTAGAGTTTGGATACAGACAAGCCTATGGAACCAGTTAAAAGATCCCCTCTTCGCCAGGATGCTAATATTGCCAACTTCTCTTATCGTTTTTCCATGTACAACCTGAATGGTAAGATAGATTGATTATTTTTCCCCCTAAGTGAAATAATTTAAATTATATATTTGAGTACAAAACAAACAAAAAATCCTGTTGAAACCTATTACTTCATCTATAATTATACAGTACATACTATTTTTCTAAAGAAAATTTCTCTGTTGAAATTTTTATAAAGTATTGATAAAATTTTATGGAGTAGAAATAATTTAAACTCATATCATGAATTAGTAGTTTGATTTACAGATAATGCTAAGCTATAATGTGATTGATTTGGTTTTGACCCAGCATGATATATGAACTCACCCATAAAGAATATTGTTTATTCTGTCAGTAGAATATTCTCCATAAGCATTGTTTTTATTGGCATGTGAATTCTGACTTGTTCTAAATATGGCTTGATTTATATTTGAATCCAGAATAATTAGTTAATTTATTCTCTGACCATTTCCTCTGGGAAGTGGAAGTTATGGAGAAAACAAACCAGGACATGAGGAATTCATTATTTCTTTACCTATCTACAAAAATAGCATTAACTTGTTTATCAGACCATAGTTAAAACAATTTTTTCTTAACATTATATGCAAAAACAACCCATGCAGTAAAAATTGAAAGCCTGACAATAATTTCCACAAATTGATCAATATTATTGTTAAGACAGTCACATGTCTTCCCATACTGCTGCTATTTTTGCATGCATGTGTACACACAGCTACTTCATCTTTTTTTCCCCAGCAAAACAAAATGGCTGTGCATAAAGGTGCCTGCAGAGACACTTGTGATCAGCTTCTGAATCTGGTGCATGAATCTAGAAAAAGAGATAGCTGTTTTAATTTTAGAAGAAAAAAATCCAAAGAACCTCTTTTTGATGGATTTGCATGGCCCACCTAATCAAGTAAATCTAACATTAAAACTAAAATGTCTTTGATATAGTGGAACCTGATAATTGAAATTGGAATATTGTTTATGTTCTTGTCATTCACTGCAGAAGCCTTGAACCAAGGTGAGACTGTAGATCTTGATGCTCTTATGGCAGATCTTTGTTCCATAGAGCAGGAGCTCAGCAGCATTGGATCACAGTCTACCAACAGTGCATCAATGAAATGTTTTCCCATAGAAGGGAAAATGACTCAGAAACCATCAAGTGGTAGCCGACTCCCATCCAAGCACAGTAGCATGAAAGTGGTATCTTCATCTAGTCAAGTAACAAAGCCTTCACATGCTGTCTTCTCCCTGGATGACATTACTGCGCAGTTAGAGAAAGCATCTCTGAGTATGGATGAAGCAGCTCAGCAATCTATAATTGAAGATAGCAAACCTGTAGTTACTATCCAGCATAGGAGGACAGCATCAGCCGGTACTGTGAGTGATGCTGAAGTTCGTTCTATCAGTAATTCCTCCCGATCTAGTATCACATCTGCAGCATCCAGTATGGACTCCCTGGACATTGACAAGATGACAACAAGACCTCAAGAGTTGGATCTGACTTCACAGGGGCAGCCCATCAGTGAGGTAAACTATGATTGATTGTTCATAGCAATTAAGTTTTAAAATATAATTTATTGGTTCATTTTGAGCCCTTTATAAAATAAAGAGACATGTTTTACTATTTTCTTGTTTTCCTCTTAAAAGGTTGCTGCATAGGAGAGGACATCCATAACAAATTTTAGTAATGTTTATGATGATATATGCTTAGATATAAGAGCAAAGTGATATTTAATCTTAAACTACCTTTTTAATAACACTGCTTATTTGTTTGTGCAGCTAAGGATTTAAATATGGGTTTCCCCAAGATATAGAAGCATCCATTTTTATGGTATAGATGCTGGTATTATCTGAAACAAAAAAAACCACAATTTGGTATTAGCTAATGCAGTCTACATTGCACAGTGTTCTGATGTTGGCTAAGTTGCTCTTACAGCACAGACCTTTCCATTGACCAAAATTGCAAAGAAAAAGACCAGAATCATTCAGCGAGGATGGATATCAGTTTAGTTGATTTCATAAGTTTGTATGAATTCTTTTGAAAATTGAGCCATGTTGGGGAGATGATGGATTGGTGAACTGAATTGTGACTGCAAAGAGGAACACTGAGGTATGGAATGCAATAGAACAAGTAATGGAGAAAGAGACATTGTCTGAGGTAAAGGAGATGAAAAATGTGGAAGCCTGGAGAAGAAACAAGTAAAAAGAGCCTGGAATTTGAGAATGAATAGATTCTCAATGAAGGAAAAATATGCCAGTCCTGAAATGGTTATTAAGAGGTAGTGAGGTTTTGGTGTTCTGCATGTGCTGAATTTTATATGCTGTTCTTATCAGCCAATTCTTTGACTGTAGGCCAGAGATGTCAAACTCGCGACGTCACGCGATGTATCGGGACTGTTTTGCCATTGCCGGCAATGGGGTGGGCATGGTTTCTGCGTGACGCGTCCGGCCCATGGGCCGGCAGTTTGACACCCCTGCTGTAGGCTGTTCTTAGGGGAAAAACAAGGCCTGAAAATTGTATCATGAAGGGTCCTTGGTGCTCTCTGAGCTTGCTTGTTTTCTTGCAGGTGTTTCATTACCCAAACTAGGTAACCTCATGAGTACTAGTGATCAGGACTAGCATTGATGATGTTACCTAGTTTGGGTAATGAAACGTCTGCAAGAAAACAAGAAAACTCAGAGAGCACCAAGGACCCCTCATATCAGCTCTGAGCTACAAATATTCTTTTTTATAAATTATATCATGAAGAAAAAAAATCTAAAAATCTACAAATAACTTGAAAGTTTGCCTTCTTATCCCTTTCTAAAACGAATAACTTCATTTAAATGTTGACATGCAATATATATCAACAATTCATTGCCAGAGATCAAATATAGATTTATTCTTCCAGTACACACATACACACACGTTCTTGTTTTGTTTTATAGATTCCAAGCCCTAAGATACAATCGAAATAAACATAGTAACATAGTAACAACATTTTTGACATGCAATGTGATCTATAATCATGTTAATAATTCTATGGATTTCTACTTCAAATTGGTAATCCTAGGACAAACCTAGAACATTATATATGAGCTAATGTTCCAGTTTCTGATTTGCATTTCTGGTAGGATAATAATGGTGGACAACCTTTATTAAACATTCTTAATTGTCTTATCCTCTATTATGCAAAAAAGATTTTAAATGTACTGACCTCATTTTAAGAAAATAAATTTCATATTCTTGCAAGAACAGGACAAGCCTGTTATTATCAGTGATAACATGAATTATTAACACTAATTTCATGAAATGCCTTCATCTAATTATCAAAAGTGATTGCAGGACTAATCCTAATCACTGCACTGAACCCACAAACATGGCTTTTTCCAGCTGACCTGATGAATGAGTTGGCTAATGCATGTTTTATTGTTTGTACTGATGTTTTATTTTATTTTATTTTTAATAAGCTACTGTGAATTTGAATAGTTTATGACATACTGAATGAATGTAATAAATAAACGGGCAATCCTCCAATCCCTACCTTCTCCATTTCCTGTTCCACATTTTGGGGAAATCTGGAAAAATATTGTGGTGGGGAATTAAAGAAGCTTAGTTACTTTGAATTAACCAACAGCCCTAAATCATGATTCTGCTCTCTATCTTTATGTACTATCAATACTCCATAGATCTCAGTGATTACACTGTGATTTAAATTCATCTGATCTCATTTGTTAGGAAGAGAAAGTCATTCCAGATTCTTGTTTATTTTGTAAAGTGTACAAAATCCATCATTCCTAAACTACTAAATTTCCTTTGCCCCAAAATCTATGTTAAAAGAAGGTATGAGAATTGTAAGATTGATATGTTCATTTATTTTTAAAAAAAATTGAATCTCCATTTGCAGTAATTTTGTTTCTTTAGTAATAAAATGTAGAAATTTTTCCTTATTTGCAATTCATATTTGTATTAAGGTTAGGAATACGATTATTAATATGATTTTGGTCTACATCAATGTGAGCAGCATAAATGTCAGAATGACAAATGAAACTCAAAAAGAAGGAAGAGAAAAAGGATAAATAATATTCTGAGTGGCAGTCCACTTACACTGAGATGAATATTGCCTAATATGTTTTAAACCTTTGATTTTACTCCTACATTACTGTTTAGTGTTGTTGGTTCCTGATCAGAATTTGCTCTCCTTCACTTTAAAATATGTTAATGAGAGAAGATGTGATTTATAGTTTCCTTTTCTTTAGAGGTTTAATTTGTTATTAAGCATAGAAGAGTACTTAATAATATGAGAGGGTCAGAAGTATAATCTATATTTTCCATTATGTTAGTTGTTTTTGAATTGTAAAGGATCAAGGCAATATCATCAGTAAAATAAAATAAATAATTAAAGAGGAAAGGAAAATCAGTAGGAATGCAGCTTAGCAAGTGAGAAGCATTCTTTCCTCAATATGTAATAGCCAAGTGGTACAGTAGTAGTAGAAATCAGAATTGGCTAATTTGTCAAATGAACAAGTAGGGAGAGAAATATGAAAAGAAGGGACTTGCTGGAGGATTGAGTGTAGTTACCCAAACACTTGGCTGAGTAAGGCAAGGATGGAGCCATGTTTAGTGCACCTCTGCTCAAATAGGCTGTGTCTGCTAGATAGGCAAATGGCAGCTAAATGTGGTAGCAGATCAAAGACTATTAGATAAGTTGGTATACAGGAGAGAATAGATGTTATTGCGAAACAATCTGACCCAAATTCTATAAAAATGTTTGAAGAGTTTCTGAGAACTACCCTAATATTTTCACATATATTCCATCTCTTAATTTAATACATCATTAATTAATACCCTTTCTTTTATCATAGATCTCTCTAATTCTTCTGCTATTACAAAATAGTTTTCTATATAAAAAAAAGAATCATTTTGACCTAAGTAAAATTTAAATCTCAACCAAATTAACTATCGTATCTAAGACAAACATATTATTACACCAATTATTATCTTACTGCTTTCATTTACTCAATTAGATTGTCAAGTCAGTCCAAATCTCTAAAGCCTTTTTGACCCAATAATTAAAATTTTAAATCACATTTTTAAATCTTAACTCTGGCTTTTTTTCTATACCAAGCTGGTTTTCATTTCTATTAGAAATACAAATACAAATTAAAGCTTTAGTTAAGCATAAGATAAAAAATATATTAGCAATGGGAAACATTTAAGGAATGCACATAAATAATAGGGATGACACCAAAAGATGTCATGAAGACATCTAATCAGCAGAAACATCTGCATATACAATGAATAGTATTTCTAAGTTTTAACAAAAAAAAAAAGAAAGGTCACTCTTTTGATTCTTGTAAAATATTTTAGCTGGAGGCTTGACACAAATTTATATGTGCTCTCCAATAGATCTTTCCAAAATCATATTAATTGCATATTTTTTCTGAATGCCTTATTGCTAAATATCATAAAAGTTAAGGTAACTTTAAAAACCTTTTTATCTGTCTTTTACTTGCTACCACCAAAAAATCAGCAAGATAAAATCTTGTACTGGGTAGTCCTCAATTGGGACTTCAATTTCCTATGCTAAGGAAGTTGGTTGTTAATGAGTTTACATTTTACAACCTTTTTTGCCACAATTGTTAAGCAAATCACTGCAGTTGTTAAGTGAATCACAAGGTCATTAAGTGAAACCAGTTTGCCCTTGCCTTTGTTGGAAGTCAGCTGGGAAGGTTATAAAGGGTGATCATATGACTCTGGGGTGCTGCAGCCATCGTAAATACATGCTGCGACAGTGCGAGAACTGGTTATAAGTCACTTTTTTCAGTGCTATTATAATGTTGAACTGTCATTAAAAGAATGGTTGTAAGTCAACAACCACCTGTACGTTGTTATCTCTGGTAACCATAATGGACTTTTGCTGACACTGGGTCTGAAATAACAGTGTTTGTTGTTTGTATGTGTGTGATGTAAATATAAGATATATAACAAAGTATAAAGTGTAAAAAATATAACATAAAAAGGTAGTAAAGTAACAGAGTAAAATAAACAAAATTCAAGTAAATAGAAGAATTTACTTTACCTACAGATAAAGTGAATAGAAGAAATGCATGGAAATTCTTCTAGATCAGTGGTTCTCAACCTGTGGGTCGGGACCCCATTTGGGGTCGATCGACCATTTCACAGGGGTCGCCAAGCAAGGCTGTCCGCCATTTTTTTTGTCCGCCATTTTTTCCCTTTTCCGGCGGGTGTCTTACCTCCCTTGGGCTGGGCCAGCTGGTGGTCGGCCTGCTCCGTCTCTGCCGCTTGCCAGCTACGCCTCGGCCGGCGCAGGGGGCGGAACCACGCATGTGCGGCGCTCCCGGGCAGGGAAAGTCCTCGACTTAGGACCGGTTGGGTAGTCCTCGACTTACGACCAGTTTAGCCCTCGACTTACGACCGGTTTAGTCCTCGACTTACGACCGGTTTAATCCTCGACTTACGACCGGTTGGGGTCACGGCATTAAAAAGGTTGAGAACCACTGTTCTAGATGGATAGATGAGAGTC